TTTTTGTTAAGACAATATACAGTCACCTAAAAAGTATGGCCGATTACATATTCTCTCTTTAACTGGGAGTGGGTTTACTTAAGCAGGGCACCCATGTTAGATACCAGTCAAGCCAGAGGACTTATGTGTATCATTATAACTTTCATCAACTTATTCACATTATAACTTTTCAGACAAGATGCCGAAACTCTGCTCCAGGTTCTCAATGCCTAACAGCCACCCCTTTCTTCCTTTTTTCTACCAGGGGCTATTTCCGCCCTTTCCTGAGACTTAGAAATGGCAACTTAAAGGGAGCCCAAGCACAATCACTGGGAGAAGGAGACGATCAATCAAAAAAGTTTGGGCCCTCCTGAAATAGATATTTAGCTACCTTACATCCTTCTGAAATGACAGCAGTCCCTATCTCATAGGGCTTTTGGGAGAATTACAGGAGATAATACACGGGAAGTACTTGCTACAATGTCAGGTACACAGTAGGCCTCAAAAAATGTTAGCTTTTATCATTTATCATTGATATAATATGACCAAAGTATCTAGTACATTAAATTAAAAAAATCAAAGGAAGAATTCTTCTAATATATTAATATAATTTAATATTAAAATAATAAATATCAAAATAATAATAAAGACTACCAATATAAAAATACTTCGAAAATGATACCAAGATATATAAACATTACATGTTAGATATTATGCTGGATTACCTATATCAATGTTTTCTCTTCCCAGGGCCACAAGTGAGAGAAATAGTATTTCTCTATACAAACTCCTAGGGGGGGGGGAAGGAGTGGAGAAGATATTACTATTCATATAATCTCTACATTCTATACAAAAATATTTATGCTAATATAAGCATGAAGTAATCAAACAAATTACTAAGCCAATAATACGAATCCGCTTAGAGGAACAATATATTCATTTAAGACAGACTTACCTCTGTCTTTTAAAATGAGGACATTTATTCAGTGTCTCTAAAATTTGACTCATTGGTCCATACACATCATTCATTTTAATGCTTTTTACCATATTTTTCAATAGTTCCTGGTTAAATGAATTATCACCTTTTTGCAATAAATGGACCATTGGATACTTTTGGGCTGTAAAAGAAAAAGAGCAGATGAAGGAAAATGTTCTACGTGTAAAGGACAATATAATTAAGCAGCAACTGATAGTTAATCAAGAAGCTACAAAGCACTAAAAACAAATTAAGGGCAATAGATAAAGGAATAGAAATCTAAGGATGAGAAAGAAAAAAAGGAAAAAAATAAGACACATAATGATGAAAACAGGCTTAAAGCTTTCTGTGGCCTCAAATAGAAAAAAACTAAAAATGCAGTTTTCCTTAATACAGCCCCTGGAGGAAATTCTCAATCAGCAGCCTGGGATGGAAACAAACAAATATGTAAAAAGAAGAAACTGGGACAAGCAATGGGCTAAAAGCGAACTCCACAAAACATAACCCCTCCAGCACATACACAGCACCACTCAAAACAAAACAAAACAAAAAAACCCTTGGCCTCCATGGAAGATAGCACTAAAAACATCAAACTTAACACTCACTCTCAAACAAAAGAGTACGATTTTGACCTGTAAGACAAAAAGTAGTAAAGTAAAATAAAAGTTAGTTATAGTTTACTACTGCTATTTAAAGCAAGTAGAGATTACTCTTACACAAACGAAGTCAGCATTCTATGATAGCACTTACTGTGGGCATTCCAGAGGATGTACAAGGGCTGTCCCGGATCCTGATGTAATTTCATATTGTCCCATAACATTTGTATTAAAACATATTTACTATCCTCAGACATACAGTGGCGAGGAATCTGTGTTGAAGAACAAACAGATATTCATTAATGATCCTTACCTGATAAGGTTTTGTAAATATAAAGATCCTTATATGTGTGCGAGAGAGAAAAGAGAACAGAAAATGACTGGTTTGTATGCATTTTATCTCGACTGAAGGAAGATGGGCTGAATTGAAAAGCTAATGATCTCTGAAGTAGTTTTTTTTTTTAAGATTTTATTTATTTATTTGAGAAAGAGAGAGAGAGAGAGAGCGCGCACAAGCAGGATGAGTGGCAGAGGGAGAGGGAGAAGCAGACTCCCTGCGGAGCAGGGAGCCTTGATGCGGGGCTCGATCCCAGGACCCTGGGATCATGACCCAAGCTGAAGGCAGATGCTTAACTGACTGAGCCACCCAGGTATCCCTCTGAAGTAGCAGATTTAACCAAATACTTAGATCAGTAAGAAAGGGTACCACAAAAGGCTAACATTAACCAGCTTATGACTGAGGGTCCCCAGAAAAATGAATCCCGGAGCCTCATTCTACATCAGTCCAAGACCCTACCCTAGATAAGTCACTGAGTTAACCTCTTGGTCATTCATTTGTCATGTGCTGAAAATCCAAACCACATGCACAATCATAGACATGAGTACAAGTAGGCAGAAAAAGTTCCTGAACTTAGAGATGTTGTGATTTAGTGGTGGTGATGCATATGAAGAAATAAAACACTTTTATATAACAATGGATCAAAAATACAAGTAAACACATAGTTGTTTACTAGTTAAGCAAAAACTCAGAGTAAAGGACTGAAGAGAATTGGTAGCACATGCCTGAACTAGGAATTACAAATATCCTCCTAAACATGTGTAAGGCTTGTTTTTGAAGGAGGTATGAGACATGAGTGGGGCCAAATCACAAACTCTTCTGATAAGAGTCATTGACAGTTTCTTCTTGAGGTTATAACAAAAACACAGCCCATTTTGTATCAATTTTATAAGAAGGCTACAAAACATGATTTTGTCTTACTGCTAGGCTGTAAGAAGAAAAACTATCTGTAAATGCAACGAAAACAATTTTATTGATCTAATGATTCAGATGGTTATTTAAAAAACTTCACATAAAAATTACTTTTTTGTCATTGAGAATATGCAAATATTACAATAGTGATGGTAGCATTGCCTTTTAGTTAATTTTTATTTTCATACCTTTGAATACTTGTTACAATGCTCAGAAGAAAGAATTAATCCAGGTAAGTTACTGGGTAAGTCAAGACGTCTAAAATACCATACAAGGTTCCAAAACACGATTGGATGATGGTCCACGAAGTCTGCCACTGTTATTGCATGGTCGCCTTCATTTTCCAGTAAGCTTTCAAGCTCCTTCCATACCACTAAAGGACTAAGATATGGAACAGTGATAGGATCTGGACTGGGGAGGTGCCACTCTAATCCTAAAGAATCCTGTTGAATAAATAAAAAAGCATAAATGGAAAATACAAGATTGATGATACTAAATCAATTTAAAAAATTCCTATCAATGATTTCCATATAAGTAGGAAATACTAGAATTGTATCATGGGACTAGAGACTCTTCTTGATATATTATAAAATTGAAGCTAATAAGGCTATATAGGACAAGGGGAACAAAATCATATGTAAATCATCAATGTCCAAATTTTAAAAAACACCAAAATACATACGGTAGCTCCTTGTAAAGTAGTTGGCAGGCTGCCTGTAGGAATGAGCTTCTGGCCTCCAGTGTCTTCCTTATCCAAGGGGCCATAAGTACTAACACTCCTGGCCATTGGAAATATTGGACATTTTGACATAGCTGTTTTTGATCTATCAGCAGGGATCTGAATACTTCGGGCATATGTATTTTCCAGCAGTTTAGATTTGCTTGGGCATTGAAAAAAGAAAAAAAGCATATCATTGTCTAGATTTACTTTATTTCATCCAGAACAACCAGATCTTTAGAATCAGAGCTGGATACACAGCAAAGTAAATCAAATAAAGATGTTAGTCAGAAGTCGGCTGGGGAATAGGATATATTTTTAAGTAGTCTAATCATGTTAAATTTCCTTTTTATCCAGTGAACTTTGAATATTCAAAAGTCATTCATTTATTAAAACATTTAGTGGACAACTGTTACACATCAGGAACCCCAGTAGGCCCAGAGGATACAAAGCAGAAAAAACAGGCGCCTATTCCTTCAGGAGTCACAAGCTAGGGGGACCCGGTCAGAGAAAGGGCTCCACTAATCCTACGAGCACATAGGTTTGCGGCTGTGCTGCCTAGGCAAGCAGGATCAAACAGGTCATGCCAGCCGGCCAGTACCCCACAGGCATTTTTTTCCTGCACATGCCATTAACAGTATGACTTCACCTGCCCCGTTATGTGTATGATGCACCTGGCACTTCTCCAAAATGGAGTCAATTTCTGCATTTGTTTTGAGTGTAAATTCACTTATATTAGGCTTACTGTAAAGTCTTCCTTTGATTTTACAGTTCCTCTATCAGTTCTAAATGTTTTCTCAGGTTATTAAATATTCTAAAGCAGAAGTAAGTTAGGACTGATTTAATTCCTAAAGAGACAGGGGTAAAAGAAAGATGTTCACTGTAAACAGGTGTTCTACAGAATTTTTACTTTTTTTTTTTTTTTTAAGTAGGCTCCACGCTCAACATGAGGGGCTCGAACTAATGACCCTGAGATCAAGGGTCGCATGCTCTACCCACTGAGCCAGTCCAGGTGTTCCAGGTGTTAGTTTTACTTTTAAAACACTAGTAAACGTTATCATATAAGAATTCTACAGCTTAAACTCTGGGGATTCATAAAGCATAAACTATAACTGTTTAGACATTTAGGTTATTAGAGAATTTTAAAACTTTTAAGTAGGGGAAAGAACTTAAGATTATGAATCTATCATACATGGAAATTTGAGAGAGAGAGCGTGCACACGTGCGAGCAAAGCAGAGGGAAAGGGAGAAAGAGAATTTCAAGCAGACTCCATGGCCCAGCGCAGAGCCCGACGTGGGGCTCGACCCCATGATCCTGAGATCATGACTTCAGTTGAAATCAAGAATCGGATGCTTAACTGACTGAGCCACCCAGGCGCCCCTAGAAATTTTAAATGGTCAGCTGATTTTTCTGTCATTTTCAGAAACATGTGTAATACATGTTAAAATATAGTTCCACATAATTATAATTACCTGTTGAGATCAAAATTCCCTTGAACAGAGATAACAGATGTGTCAAGACCAGAGGCTGATGTTGAGATACAAGACTGCCTTGTCTGAGTTGAAAAGGAGGATGGAAAATGCATATTTTCTGTAGATGGGCTTGACTTCAGAAAGTATCTGCAATGTGAATTAAAGGAACTTTTTGAGAAAAGAGATATTCTAGGAAATATGATCCTTAAACATGAAGGAAAAAGAAAGCACAAATCATTACCTTCCAGGCCGTCTTAAATCTCTTATTTCAATATTCAGAAAGGGCAAGAAAAGATTGCCACAAAATGGGCATGTAGTATTGAGATTTGAATCATCTGCTGTCCAGCCAGCCATGATTTCCTCATCATGGACGAGACAATCACATGTTCTACACCGAGAACAACTTGAGATAAGAACCTATGGGAAAAAACAGCACTTTATAAAGCGAGCCTGTTGGAGATATTATGAATTAAAAACCACTTCAATCCATAAATCTATTAGAAAACTAAAAGTCAGGCAACCCTTTCAGGACCCCTCTCACTCTTGAGAGCTTTTTCTGTATTTTCACTTAATAAACTTCT